GGAGTGGTGAGAGCGCAGGCCACTCTGGCCGGGTCACCGAGGGCTGAGGGCGATCCCGGGAGGGTCGCGGGGGCGGGCCGCACCCCAGCTTCGAACCCCGCCCCGCGGAAACCCCCGGCGAGCCGGGCGTCCGACGCGAATTTCAGCCGAGAGCTTAAGCACAGGGCTATGGAGAGAGGCTAAGGTCAAGCGCGCTTCCGCTGCACCCCGGGAGCAGCTCGGGGGGCGGGGGTCCTATCCTGGCTGTTCCGGGAGCCCCGAGCCGTGCTCAGCAGCGGCGACCGTGCTGAGTGTGGCCCTTGGGCTCGGTCTCCTTCCCTCTTCTAAGGTCTCCCTATCGCTCTGTGAACTGGAGGTAATGACCCAGCCCTGCCCGCTGAACGGATTTGTGAGGTTCAGAAGAAAACACGGGTTGGGGGCTGGAGAAACCCTGGTGAACTAGGAAGTGCGGTCAGCAAAGGGTCAGGGTATCAGACCACCGGAGGCAGGTTTGCCCTTGAGCTAAACTGGGCACCCCTGAACCTCGCCCATGCCGGTCCCCCCTCCCACAGCACTTTCTGCAGCTGGAGCAGATTAACGGGCGGCTGAGCGCCTCCTTGCTGCACACCCATGACACGGAGACTCGGGCTACTATGAACTTGGCGCTGGCCGGCAACATCCTGGCTGCAGGGCAGGATGCCCATTGTCAGCTCCTGCGCTTCCAGACCCACCAGCCGAAGGGCAAAAGCAAGGCAGAGAAGGCAGGTGAGAAGCCGGCCCTCCAGCTTTTGGGAAAGGGATGAAACGGGTCAGACCGTTCTCTCCTGGGTCTCTGAAGGAGAGGGGCTAGAAGGGGAGGTCATGGTCGCAGGCGGGAAGCTGGATGTTCACCAGCCGCGTAGAGAGGGGGCTGGTATCGCTTACTCACGGAAGCCTGGACGCTGGTGGGCTGTTTGTGTGGCAGGCACCAAGGAGCAGGGGCCTCGACAAAGAAAGGGGGCGGCCCCCCCAGAGAAGAAATCTGGAGCTGAAACCCACCAGGAGGGGGTGGAACTAAGGGTAGAGAATTTGCAGGCGGTGCAGACAGACTTCAGCCCTGATCCGCTGCAGAAAGTTGTGTGCTGCAACCACGATAACACCCTGCTGGCCACTGGAGGCACCGATGGCTGCGTGCGCGTCTGGAAGGTACGGTTTTTAGGGGGTTAGGGAGGATGTGCGTCCTTAGCAGCAAGGCCAGAATTGTGAGAAAGCGAACGTGGGTTCTGGGAAGTAGTGAGCGAAGTCTGTGGCGAGCGGCCTTTAGAAGAGAAGCGGGTGGGAGTCACCGCGCTCCAGCGGGTGCCCGGGCGTTACCGTGGTGGTGGTTTGGCTGCAGGTACCCGGCCTCGAGAAAGTGCTGGAGTTCAAAGCCCACGAAGGGGAGATTGAGGACCTGGCTTTGGGGCCTGATGGCAAGGTGAGGAGGCGGGAGGGTGGGAGAAGGTGGTTGTGCTGCTTGTTCTGTACGTGGATCTCCTAACTGTCCCTCCTCGAACTCTTGATTCCTGACCAGTTGGTAACTGTGGGCTGGGACCTTAAGGCCTTCGTGTGGCAGAAGGATCAGCTGGTGACACAGCTGCACTGGCAAGAGAATGGACCCACTTTTTCTAACACGCCTTACCGCTACCAGGCCTGCAGGTGTGAAGGTCCTGGAGGGTGGCTGAAAGGCTCAATCGAGGTGTGGAAGGGGAGTGGGAAAAGACTCGGGGGAAGCTGGTAGCCTTGGCGAGTATTACCTCGGGCCTAACCAGGGTGCAGGAGGGAACAAAACTCTTGAGGGCTGGGCAGGCCCCAGGAGCCGAACCGCTTCTCACTGGCCCCCAGGTTTGGGCAGGTTCCAGACCAGCCTACGGGGCTCCGACTCTTCACAGTGCAGATTCCCCACAAGCGTCTGCGCCAGCCCCCACCCTGCTACCTCACGGCCTGGGACGGCTCTACCTTCTTGCCTCTTCGGACCAAACCCTGTGGCCATGAAGTCATTTCCTGCCTTACTGTCAGGTCTGAGACAGTGCTGGCATGGCTTGGTGTGAGGGTGGCAGGGGGAGCTCCCCAAGGCCCTGCTGGAGTCCGAGGACTCTTGTTAGTGACGGAGTGTTGCTGCTCACAGGCCTCCGGGACAGTGAACGCTCTGTTGTTTGTTGCAGTGAATCGGGCACCTTCCTGGGCCTGGGCACAGTCACTGGATCTGTTGCCATCTACATAGCTTTCTCTCTCCAGGTAATGGGTAGAGGTGGGCACAGTCCCGGGGACTCTTTGGGGTGGGGACGGTAGGCCTGCTTCTACCATGAGTGCAGGGAGGAGTCTGGCCCAGCCTATAGAGGGGAAGCCTGGGGGGCAGGGGACATGTTTCCAGAAGGAATGTTTCCCACTGAGCCTTCCTTCCCTTATTCTCCTGTCCCTAGCGCCTGTACTACGTGAGGGAGGCCCATGGCATTGTAGTGACGGACGTGGCCTTTCTACCCGAGAAGGGTCGCGGTCCAGAACTCCTTGGGTCCCACGAAACTGCCCTGTTCTCTGTGGCTGTGGATAGTCGTTGCCAGCTGCACCTGCTACCCTCACGACGTGAGTCATTGGGGCGGGCAGGTTCCACCCCACCTTGAACTGTAGCAAATATTTGCCTCGTGGAGAATGGGCTGCTCACTTAGAGCCATCGGTCCCCTCCTTGAGTGGAGTCGGTTGAGGGTTCTGTGATTTGGCATGTGAAGCCCCTTTGCCCACTGACTTCTCTTATCCTCCCCCGCAGGGAGTGTTCCTGTGTGGCTCCTGCTGCTGCTGTGTGTTGGGCTTATTGTCATGACCATTCTGCTGCTCCAGAGTGCCTTTCCAGGTTTTCTTTAGTCTCCTGCTCCCAGGGAATCCGGGGCCTGGGACTCTGCCACCTTCTGGACCAGATTGGAGGCCCCGACACCATTGTTCACTCCACGTCTACCTGGGTCCACAGCAGAGGTGGCCTCTGAGGAGACCTGACAGGAACTGCCTGCCCTTCCCAGTTGAAGCTTGACCGTGGCCTTGTGTGACTGAGTTCTGGGAACCCTGAACTCATCTTTGGATCCACTCCGGACAGTGGTGTCTGCAGCCCAGGCCACACCACCTGCCTCCTCTCCTCTGTCTGCTAGGGGCTCCAGAGTGAGCTTATCCTTTCTCCAGAAATATGTGAAGGTGCCCCAGAATTTGGAGTCACTGCTGTCCTTTCTGCAGAAGCAATCCGTTTCTCCTCCCTCACAACCTGTGGCCCGTTGCCCTTCACATGAGCCCCTTGTGTTTGCTGGGGCAAGCACCTGCCTGGGAAGGAAGGAGCAAAAGGGAGACCCAGGCACTAATCTGTGGGTTCAGCGGGGTAGCTCTCAGCCAGCCAGGCTAAATGGGCAATAAGTTCCTAGATGGTCTACCCTAGCTTTGAGAGACGGGAAAGTGAACCTCAACCCGTGCGACAGGAAAAGTTGATATTTAATAAACAGGGAAGCCTGAACTGAGACCCAACTGGCTCTGTTGTCAGCTCTTGCCTCCCTCGGAAGGTGACAGAGCCCTGCGGCCCAGCAGCTCTGCCGAGTGCTGGAAGATGGCTTTGGCGTACTGATGGAAGAGGCGGCTCATGTAGCAGTGCTGCCAGGGGAGCAAGCCTTCCAGGAAGCCGATGTGGCCGCCCTGGGCTGTGACGAGCAGTGCGACGTGGGGCGACTGTTGGGCAGCTTGAATCGGAAAGGCTGGAGGAGGGGTTGGAGAGGAGGTCTGAGAACCAGGCTCCCTCCACTTACACCACACGGCCCATTGTCCTTGGGGCCTAAAGCATCAAGATTCGGGGTGCTCACCACAGGCTGGGGAGAAGGGGTCATCTGCTGCATTGAGGCAGAGCACAGGTATCTGGATGGCAGCCACTTTGGTTCTTGGGCTTGCTGCCTGGTAGTAGGTAGTACAGTCTTTA